ATCAGGCGTCGCTCCAAACCCAGCCCGGGACAGGAGCGTGCCTTTTGCAGGACGACGGCCAAGGCGCGTTCGGTTTTGGAGAGCGAGGGGTGTTGGTAGGACAGCCTGGTCACCGAAACGCCCCGCTGCGTGTGGCACTGACCTGCAGGACGACGGCCAAGGCGCGTTCGGTTTTGGAGAGCGAGGGGTGTTGGTAGGACAGCCTGGTCTCCGAAACGCCCAGCTGCGTGTGGCACTGACAGCCCCGGGGTGGCAGAAGCTGCTGCCCGGCCCTGCAAAACCGGCCCCACACTGCAGGCTCAGAGACTAAGCTGGGAAGCGTAAAGCTAAATCGGCGGGGGAATTATCTCTGCTGGGACTAAATAAAGGCCCTAAGAGCTGGTCCGCTCACCACATCCAATAACGTGCGATTTGGCCATTAATGGCACTTTAAATAGCCTCTGCCAAGTTCAAAGTTAAGCACGATGCTGTGGGGGAGGAGACGCGCCGGGGCTCCCGCGGGGGTGCACAAAACCCCCTCCCGGCCGGGCTGCGGGGCTGATCCGCCGGCCCGGGACGGCACAGAGACGAGCGTCTCCCTCGCAAGGGACTCACAGAGGTCGGCACTTTCTGCCTCCGCACGGGTTATCGGGGTCTCATCCAGCCCGGGGGCACCCTGAGCCCAATGGTCTCTCCTGGCCAGTCCCTGGGGCTGGGGGAGGTGTTTTGGGGCCGGTGGGATGGGTGGGTCAAGGGGACAAAGGCGAAGGCTTTGTTGCGTTGGGGACAAAACTCCGTTCTCAGGTTAGGTATCACTGCAGGGGACTTAAGGATCCCTTAGAGATATCCATCCACTCCGGAAATGGAAACCAGGAGCATTGAAAGTGCAAGTTTGCCGGGTGCTTTGCCCAGTGACTCAGTGCTAGGGGAAGAGCTGGACCCCGAAGCCTGGGCAGATACAGACCCCTGCGGGCACAAATAAATGCTCGGCCCCGGCACGATGGGTATTCACGGACCCCAGCCCGCCTCGCTCCTGAGACACGGCCGCTGCTCGAACACGCCGTATCCATACAACGGGCTCCGAGCGTGAACTCGGTCCCACGGGAACGGCTTTCCCGGGCCCGCCCC